AAACTGTTAATATATTTAATTAACCAATCATTGTTAACAGGAGTAGTGTCACCTATTCATCCGCACATAAAAATGTGGTTAATGGCATTTACTGTCCTGACAGGAAAAGTTGTGCCGAGCAACATTACCGTCCTGACAGGAAAAGTTTCGCCAAGCAACATTACCGTCCTGACAGGAAAAGTTGTGCGGAGCAGCAATCATGCACATGGAAACCTGGTAATTGCTTTTGGGGTCAAAGGCCAGATGCGGCTAATCGGAATCACAGGTGGGGTATTTAAACCCAATTTTCCTTTTGCTAATTGCCCTGTCGTGGTTTCATCCTGATGGTAATCCGAGAGTGCTTTCCTGATCTTGATTTTCTGGTATTTGACTTTGGCTTCGTTTTGACTTCCCTGATTTTCTAGTATCCGTGACTTTTGGCTTTCCCTCATCGTTGTGTCTGATTCTGTGTTCCTGACCTCGGCAAGTATTTTGACTATTCTTGGATACGTTAAGTCCGGCCATTCTAAGGTCCGGTTATACATTATCCTTAGTTCTAGGTGTAACACAGTTCTGCGTGCTGGATCAACTTGTAATCCCGACAAGAAGTCCCAGAAGTTTGGAAATTAGTGAATGTTGTGCCAATTCACAAGAGAGGTAGTAGGTAGGAATCATGCAACTATAGGCCAGTAAGCCTTAGTTCAGTAGTGGGGAAAGTAATGGAAACCAAACACCCACGAGAGGGTCCTTTTGATGACCAAAAGCAAGAAATGGACCCAACCCAAGTGAGACCCACTTACAGGTCTTACCTGGACCTAAGAAGTATACACCCACATTGCATACAAGTGGGGCTCTTGTACATTAGAAAATATGGTGCTTTACAATGATGTGTAATATTATCAAAACTATGTTACATTGCTGAACCCACAACTGTTTTGTCGGATGTATCGAAACAAGTCGATGACTAACGCCGATTACAATCTGTTACGCTCCATGAACGAAAATTGTTTACAATATCTTTATCTTTATGTACTACATAACTTTGTATGCTATGATGTTCTAACAAAATAAAATAGGAGTGTTGAACATCTAAAATCACAAGGATTTCAAGATCAGACAACATGAGTTTACTTCAGGGAGATCATGCCAAAACTCAAGGGCAGAGTACAGAATATTTGATACAGTCCTAAATTCAACAGCTGAGGGAAGGGATTTAGGAGTAATTATTTCAGATGACCTAAAGGTAGGCAGACAAGGTAACAGAGCAGCAGGATATGCTAACAGAATGCTTGGTTATATAGGGAGAAGCATTTTCTCTAGAAAGATGGAACTATTCATGCCATTGCACAGAGCAGTGGTAAGACCTCACTTGGAGTATTGTACACAGTACTGGAGAGGTCAGAGGAGGGATACTAAACTGGTTCATGGATTGCAGGATAAAACTTACCAGGAAGGGTTAAAGGATCAAAAAGGGACACTATAGTCACCAGAACAACTACAGCTTATTGAATTTGTTCTGGTGAGTAGAATCATTACCTTCAGGCTTTTTGCTGTAAACACTGTCTTTTCAGAGAAAATGCAGTGTTTACATTACAGCCTAGTGATAACTTCACTGGCCACTCCTCAGATGGCTGTTGGAGATCCTCCCTGGGTCATGGCTGCCTAAAATGCATCCAAACATTCAGTATCTCCCCCCTCTGCATGCAGACACTGAACTTTCCTCATAGAGATTAATTGATTCAATTCATCTCTATGACTAGATGCTGATTGGCCAGGGCTGTGTTTGAATCATGCTGGCTCTGCCCCTGATCTGCCTCTTTGTCAGTCTCAGCCAATCCTATGGGCAAACATTGCGATTGGATCAGGCTACCACTTCTGATGATGTCAGCAGACTGCTTGTTTTTCTGAGTCTAACATCATGCAGAGTTACAGCTTCTGGCTTGAATACAGTAAGATTTCTACTACATTTATGGAGGCATGAAGGGCCCAGGGGGGCTAGATGGCTAGATGGTGGTTTTAACACTATAGGCTCAGGAATGCATGTTTGTGTTCCTGACCCTATAGTGATCCTTTAACATAGCTTGGAGGAAATACGAGACAGGGGGGATAGAAACATTTAAATGAGAATCAGGAGAATATATTGAAAAGAAGAAAAACTCCACAACTAGAGGACATAGTCTTAAATTAGAAGAGCAAACGTTTAAATATAATATTAGGAATAACTTTACTGAGAGGGTAGGGGAAGCTGTAGAGGTAGAGGTTAACACAGTGAAGGAGTTTAAGCATGCGTAGGATAGGCATAAGGCTGACTGGGCCGAATGGTTCTTATCTGCTGTCACAATCTATTTTTCGATGAAATGATGTGTGTCCAGGAAAACACGGTGGATCTATCTACCCATCTATCTATCCATCCATCCAGACTTTTATAAGGCAGATTCATATTTTCACACATTTTCATCTACTGAGACTTTTGCTGCTTTTTGTGGAAAATACAGTGAGGGAGTTCAAAGAATTAAGCTGGCTTTTAACACAGTGCACATATAGTGATTCTCTCTTGAACACTGAAATCTGCAGTTTGTAAAGGTAACCTCATGGTCTGTTCATTTATATTGAATATATATTGTTTAGGTCCGTGCATTGATTTTGGAACTTCATTGTACCTTGCTGCCATTCCAAGTTCACCTCTGCTCCTTAGGCAATTTTCTGAATAAAAGCAGCATGTGAGTCTAAATAAGTTGTCCTACTGGCCCAATACAGTAGATGAGTGCTTGCCTCAATATACAGCTCCAATGTCTTATTAAAGCAGCACGATAACCCCCTCTCTCAACATGAAAAATTAGTATTTCATAAAGACAGAATCTTTATGAAATACTCATACTGACTGTGTCACAAGATATACTGAGATGAAGTTGTGAGCAGGCAAAGGTGAGTTGTACTTACCTGAACCTGAAGTAGAACTCACCTTTGCCTGTTACCCCCAGCCACCGGAGCCCCAGCTGCAATGTCACCATCGGGGGTCTTTTGCAAAATATGTAAAGTCCCGAGATGGTGACAGTGCTGCTAGCTTCAAAAGCTAGAGCACACAAAATTGAATAAACAACTTTATATAAAAGGCGCTGTAGTACCCGTGTCAATGTTAGTAGAAATGTGGTATATCATCATAATCTGTGAAGATAGATAAACGTATTCACCTTATGATTATGATAAAGCTTTGTGAAGCTTTAATGAATCTTTTCAGATCCATGATGAATGCATTATCACAAATTCAAACACCACTTAATATTCAGTGAGATCAACATCCTCTTTAACAGGTGTGTACTCCAACATTATCCTATTATCCAAAAAGCCATGGTAAACGTACACTTCGGACCCCCAAAGTACTTCGGCTTCCTGAAATAATTTAGGGTTGACTGGGTGTCCGCAGGAATTTTTCCAGGGGGATCATAATTGTAATGACATCCATGCTTGGCCCCTTTTTGACCGTGTCATGAAAGGGAGGAGCTTAGTCATTTTATTGTAAAGCGCTGCGGGAATAAGCTGGCACTATATAAATACCAATAATAATAATAAATAATAATAATTATCACATAAGGCCAGGGTGAATAGCGTTTTCACAACTATGGTGTCAGGAATACATGTTTGTATTCCTGACACTATAGTGTTCCTTTAATCAAATTAAAGGAACAATCTGGTCATCATAACAACTTCATCTAAATGAAAATGCTATGATGCCAGGAGGCCCCTGGGTGCTCTCTTTTCTTTAAGGGGTTAAACCATTCTCAAATGGTTTAACTCCAAAGGCTTCCTCAAGCTCCAGATCTCCAGGTCGCTCAGTGGCATTTGGCTTCTGAAATGGAGTGTCAGGAAGTGCAGATTGACGTCAGGCATGGGCGCCACTGGTTGACTGATTGAGTAGTCAGCTGATGCTCTAAGCCAATTGCTAGTTCCCATTTTATATATATATTTTTTTGCTTTTTACCAGCTGACCGTTCTAGCCAATCAGCGACACCCCTACCCAGTGGCACTCTGTGCTTCCAGACACTCACTAAATAAACGTAAACACATTAACACTGATATTTTTTTTTACCTGGGGAGATGAGAATGTCCAAAATTTCCCTGCCAGGCCCAGGTACCAAAGCCTTATGATGTGGTGTCCAGAATGAAGTGGAGGGATTACTTCACTTGTCCTTCCTGCTCCAATCTTTTTTTCTTCTCCTTCATTTGACACAGTCTTCTTTTTCTTCTGACACTGTCTTCTCTCCTCCTTAGCTCCTTCTGCTCCTTTCTCTTTCTGATCCCTTTTTGCTACTTGCAGACCCTTTGTGCTCCTTCTCATACTTTACCTTTGTGCTCCTTCAACCCCTTATAGCTCCTTGCTCCCCTTCCAGCTCCTTGCTGCCCCTTCCTGCTCATTTATGTTCCTTCTACTTTCTGCTCCTTCTCCTACTTTACCTTCCTTTATCTTTGCGCTCCTTTTGCCCCTTCCCGCTCCTTGCTGGCTCTTTCTGCTCCTTCTCCTGCTTAACCTTTGTGCTCCTTCTGATTCTTTCTGCTAAAGTAGCAGAAAGGTAAAGTAGCAGAAAGAATCAGAAGGAGCACAAAGATAAAGTAGGAAAAGGAACAGAAAGGCTCTACAAGGAGCAGAAAGGGTTAGCAAGGAGCTGGAAAGGGCAGCATGGAGCAGGAAGGGACAGAAGGAGCACAAAGGTAAAGGAGCAGAAAGAATCAGGAGAACAAAGGTAAGTGGAAGACAGAGCAGAAAGGAGAAGGAACAGAAATGAGCAGAAAGGGCCATTAAGGAGCAGAAAGGAGAAGGGGCAGAAATTAGCAGGAAGGGACATCAATGATCTAGAAGGGGCAGAAGGAGCACAAAGGTAAAGTAGGAGATGGAGCAGAAAGGAACAGAAATTAGCAGGAATGGTTAGCAAGGAGCAGGAAGGGTCAGCAAGGAGCAAGAAGAGGCAGCAAGAAGCAGGAAGGGGCAGCAAGGAGCAGGATGGGGCAGCAAGGAGCAGGAAGGCGCAGTAAGGAGCAGGAAGGGTCTTCAAAGAGAAGGAAGGGTCTGCAAGGAGCAGAAAAGGGCAGGAAGAGACAGAAGGAGCACCTTTGTGCCCTTTTCTGCTCCTTGCAGACCCTTCCTTCTCTTTGAAGACCCTTCCTGCTCCTTACTGCGCCTTCCTGCTCCTTGCTGCCCCATCCTGCTCCTTGCTGCCCCTTCCTGCTTCTTGCTGCCTCTTCTTGCTCCTTGCTGACCCTTCCTGCTCCTTGCTAACCATTCCTGCTAATTTCTGTTCCTTTCTGCTCCATCTCCTACTTTACCTTTGTGCTCCTTCTGCCCCTTCTAGATCATTGATGTCCCTTCCTGCTAATTTCTGCCCCTTCTCCTTTCTGCTCCTTAATGGCCCTTTCTGCTCATTTCTGTTCCTTCTCCTTTCTGCTCTGTCTTCCACTTACCTTTGTGCTCCTGATTCTTTCTGCTCCTTTACCTTTGTGCTCCTTCTGTCCCTTCCTGCTCCATGCTGCCCTTTCCAGCTCCTTGCTAACCCTTTCTGCTCCTTGTAGAGCCTTTCTGTTCCTTTTCCTACTTTATCTTTGTGCTCCTTCTGATTCTTTCTGCTACTTTACCTTTGTGCTCCTTCTTTCCATTTCTGCTCCTGCTGCCCCTTTCTGCTCCTTACTGACTCTTTCTGCTCTTTGCAGACCCTTCCTCTCCTTGCTGACCCTTCCTGCTCCTTGCTGACCCATCCTGACCCTTCCTGTTCCTTGCAGATCCTTCCTGTTTCTTGCTGCCCCTTCATGCTCCTTGCTGCCCCTTCCTGCTCATTTCTGTTCCTTTCTCCTCCTTTTCTTACTTTACCTTTGTGCTCTTTCTGATTCTTTCTGCTCATTACCGTTGTGCTTCTTGCTGCCCCTTCCTGCTCATTTCTGTTCCTTCTCCTTTCTGTTCTTTCTCCTGCTTTACCTTCCTGCTCCTTGCTGACCCTTCCTGTAGGCTGCCCCCACATGACATCCCTCACTTACCTGATCTGTAGGCTTTTCATTAAGCAGAAGTGGTCTGGGTGACTATAGTGGTCCTTTAATTCAGTGCTACCACAGGAGAGCATTAACCTAATACTTCCCTATAAAATGCATTCTATTGCGTGTTCAATGAATTTGATTGCTGTATTAGTGGCAGTTGATATACTTGCACTAATTTAGTCCAGATAAAAAAGGAGATTGCCGCTGTCTGTGTGTTAACCAATTGGTCACTGTGTAGAGTTTCTGTGTGTGCATGCATTGGTCTATGTGTGGAGCATCTGTGTGTAAATGCAAGGGAATACTTACCCCCAATCAAAATACTTTATTGAGATTTCAGGGAGAAAAAGGGTACTGCACTCAATCATAAAAATCACAGGGTGCTGACTGAGATTTCAAAACATGGGAAAGAGATTGTAATGCCATTCCCAACTTGAAACTTCATTCTATGCCAAGCCCTCTCTGGGCTCACATGGGTTTATATTTTCTTGCGTCAGGATTTTAATATTTTTCTTTAGGTTTTTGTGAATCTGATCAATTTTTATTGTTATTTATTTTAGTAATGTCGGTTATTATAGATTTTTTACTTGGCCTTTTGTGGGGTTGAAAAACAAAGATGTAAAAAAACTAATAAGGTAAGTATCATTTTTTTTTACAGGTATTAGTTTTATATTATTAGAGTGAGGGTGTAGGTAGAGAACCTTAATTTTAATGTCTGGTGGCTAGGTGCTGGGGACCCCTAGCCACATGCAGGGTGCACAATGTATATCGTTTTTATATTTTCTTAGAGCCCCCTCTTGCTGCCCATTGACTGAGGAAGACATTAGTATTATAATTAGAGCTCCCACCTGTCACGCCAAGGGTGCATAATTCATTGTTGCACAATAGAATATTATTATTGTTTTCTTGTCCATTTAACCCCTTAAGGACCAAACTTCTGGAATAAAAGCCATGTGTCCTTAAGGGGTTAATGTGGCTTAACGGTTTAGCGTTGAAGACGCCAGGTACAGGTGATAAATTAAAGTGTTTTAAATAATAGATTTTCATTATTTTTTTTCTATATTATTCTACTTTTTGCCAGCTGCTAGTTATTTCAGCTGTGTCTGTTCATGAAATACATTTTGGTTTTGCTTAAATGTAAGGTTATTTAGAGGGTTTTGAGCTCATTACTCTTTTACAAACCCACGCTATTTTCTTTATTTTAACGAGTAGAAAGTATAGAAGCTTTCAGAAAATGCAGAAAAAGTAAGAATATTGCCAAATAAAAACAACTAAAATGCACATCAACACTAACAAGAAAGAAAAAAAAGACACACAATCATGTCATTGTTGAGAGAGCCACACAGGTCTGGTTTCACTTTATTGTAAACGCCATCTAGAAGAAAGCACAAAATAAATACAAAACTAAAACTGTATTCTTCATTAAAGCTCAGAAAATCTATTTGTGATTATTTTCCCTAAATGTTTTTATGTATATTTCCTTCAGATGGTATCATCAACAAACATATTCTTGCAAAACACTTTAATAGAAGTTACCAAATACCCAGCAAGATTTTAAATGCAGCTGACACCATCAGGCTGTGCTTAAGGACAAGCTGTCAGTTGAAGAGGGCACATGTTTGAGTGCCCCCTGCCAGGAACCTGCATTTTGTCTGTGTTAAAGAGCTGAAGGGCATCACAAGCGCCCCAAAATGGAGCCAACTCAGCTCTATTAGTTCACTGCCTCAACTTTTCTCCTTAAATCATCTGTCTCCCTGTCAAACTGGTCTAAAATATATATATTTTTTTATCTTTTCAATTTGACAAGAGGCAAAAACAAATCGCTAATAACACCCAACCTTATTTTTTTAATATGTAAAATTAAAATTTAATGACATTTCTCGCTAGCTTCACATTAAAACCAATGGCTGTATAGCATTGAAAAAAATAAATAATTATATTTTTCAGATTATTGCTTCTTTTTTTTCTTCTACATAATACATACCCCAATTTCACATTTACCCAACAATTGAAATTAAGCACCTCCTCCAACATACTGAATGGGGTGTTTTGAAAGTCTTAGAAGGACATTTTTTCATACCTGATTTAAGGACACATACTCAACCTTGGCTTTCAACATTTTTAGATGTCACCACTTTGCTAAATAAGGAATAATATGATAATTTGCCTTCCATGGTGGGATACCTAGGGTTACCAGTAGATAATAAAATGCATGTGCCTCAATGATACAAGGTAGTTTTGCATAGGTTAAGGTTTATGTTATCTTTCATTGAGTAGTAGAGAAGGCATTTGTATTTTTCATTAATGTGACATTTCCATAACTTAATTTCTTGTATAGCCTTAACCTCCAGTATTTATGTCTGTATTCTGACTTGTGTGCAAAAACAAAATATTTAATAGAAAATAAAAATATATATATACATATTCATTATAATTATATAAAGTGAAGTCCTTGTTGTGAACTCTTACGTTCTGAATATATAAGAGTATTTGGATTCAGACATTTGAAAAACAAATTTTTTCTTTTTATTCTTTATTAGCAATGTCTAGGTAGGTACAACAGTGCCTGTATCGCTACAACAGAGTGATCAGGCTCTATTTTGTAGGTATAACATAACAATAGCGCAACATATTTGGCTTGCATATAGCATATCAATGAGGAGAATGACAGGTGAAGACATGCATTTTCATAGATTAGCTAATGGTCTAAATTCTTGAAACATTGGTGAATAAACTTGAACTTAAGCAGACAAAAGGAGCTTGAGAGGATAAATTTATCCCATGTTATACAGAGTGTAGTAGGGTGTTCCAGTTTGTTTTCAGGTAGGTGTGCCTAGTAACCCATGCAGGTCCGGGTGTCAGTTGGTCTTCAGTCGTCAGTTGTGTTTGTGTAGTATGGTGGCAGTGCGGTGTGGATGGGGTGTGTTCCTGCCTTTAGGTGGGGTCGCAATGGGTGGTTGAGTAGTTGTGAATAAAGGTTAGCCACTGCGACCAGCATGCTGTGTATTTAGAGTATGAATGCATCAGTGAGAGATGTAACTCTTCCTTTAATCTAATAGACTTCACTTTTTGAATCCATTCCCTTATTGTCGGATGAGTTTGTTTTTTCCAGTAAATCTGGATAAGCATATTGGCCGCTGTGATTAGGTGGTTGACTAGTATTATATGGGGTTTGGCCATCGGTTGTGAGTATATGAGAAATAGGGATATTTTGGGAGGTAGGGGGAGACGAGTCTCCGTTATCCCCGAAATCAGGGTCATGATCCTTTGCCAGTATGTTTGAATGACTGGGCATTGCCACCAGATATGTCCCAGGGTGCCTTCTGGTTGGTGGCACCTCCAGCAGGAGTCTAGGAGGCTAGGGAATAGGCGACTTAAGTGTGACAGATTGTAGTGCCATCTAGCTATTCATTTGTAGTTGTGTTCGTGTGTGGCATTGATAATTGAGGAATGGAATATGTTTGAAAAGATGCCTTTGCATTCTGAGTCGGAGAAGGAAATGTTGAGTTCCCTTTTCCATTGGGTTAGGAAAGGGGGTCTAGGGTGACATGTGTCGTTCTGAAGTAGATTATAGAGTGTTGAGATATGTTTCGACTTGAGGCCTACGCTGTCACACAGGTTTTCAAATGTGGATAAGTCTCTTGTTGCGCCGCAGAGGAGTGGTGTAGTTGACATGAAGTGTGTGAGCTGGTTAACGTTGAAGCGTAGTAGAGGTGTGGCTGTCTTGTTGGGTATAATCTCCTCTGGTGGTTTAATCCCTTGGGCGTTGAGTAAGGTTCCTAGCTTAAGGTAGCAAGATGTGTGTATATTTTTGAATGTAGATGGGTTCATACCAGGTTGAAATAGCAGGTTGTAGGTTAGTGGGTATAGAGGGGATGGATAGGGTGAGATACTTGACAGCGATCTAATCTGCTGCCATGTGCGTAGTGTCGGGGTTATGGTTGGATGGAGATTGTGGGGGCAGTTGAGAAGAGTCTTGCTCTTGTTATGCCAAGGTATGGTGTGTAGGGGTACTGGGAAACAGAGTGCTTTGAGTTGCACCAATTGTTTTTGGTTGTTGGGTATCATCCATTCGTAAATCCGTGAGAGGACTATGGCTTTATGGTAGTTCTCAATATTGGGTAAGCCAAGACCAAGAGTTTATGTGTTGTCAGTAGC